ATGCAATAGGTAAGAATATTGTGATGATGGCTTTTTGTATTGATTTTAATTAATAAATTTATAACTGTAGAAAAGTCACCACAAACTCCAGAAATTCAACCGATTTTTATTACTGTTGATCCGGAACGTGATACCAAAGAAATTGTTGGCAAATATGTGAAAGAATTTTCACCAAAGTTACTAGGTCTTACCGGTACTGTTGATCAAATTCGCAAGGTTTGCAAAGCATTCCGTGTTTACTTTAGCGCTGGTCCACGCGACGTCGACAACGATTATATTGTATGTTTTTTAATATGATATAAACATATATATATAAATTATTCAAGTAAGATTTTTTTCCACAGGTGGATCACACTATCATCATGTACCTAGTCAATCCTGATGGCGAGTTTGTGGACTATTATGGTCAAAATCGCGATAAGGATCAATGTATAAGCTCGATATTAGTAAACATCGCCAAATGGAATAATTTGAACAAAAAATCTTGGTTCGGTTAAGATCATAAACAATTGTACGATTTTTCTTCTGACTTGTATTATTAATTGAAAATATTTTAATTACTTTGCATTTTTAATTTTAAATGCGCAAAAATAGCGCAATAAATATTTAAAAGTGAATATATGTACATAAGTCAACTTATTTTTGCTTAAATATTGAAAATCGTTTATATGTTAATTTATATATGTATGTTTAAATATAAGCGTAAAAGTGCACCGGTTTGTGTGCCTGTCGCTGTAATTCGCAATTTGCTGTAAATTATTTGTAAAGCAAAAATGTGGCATCTTTCTGTTGCAAATGACATTTAAATGAAATTTTATGTTGTCAGCACTGTTGCTGCACACGAAGCTTCTTTTTGACATTTCAAAGCGCTCTCCGCAGCATTAAAATAAATTACTTTTTGTGAAAACACATAAAAAACAGTGCAAAATGGTAAATATTTTATACATTTTGGGGCAAAGTCGTATCGTGCAATCAACAGTTTTTTAAAATACAATCAATAACACAAAATGATTAAGGTTTTGTGATATTGCTTTCTCGATACACCTAACCTAAAACATTAGGTTGCTCATCGATTCTCACTTTATAACGAATCAATTTATAATGTATATTTATTTCAGCGCCCTTTAATGCTGCAAGGACATGAGCGTTCTATAACGCAAATTAAGTTTAATCGTGAGGGTGACTTACTATTTTCATGCTCTAAGGATCAAAAGCCTAACGTTTGGTACTCGCTAAACGGTGAACGTCTAGGTACATACGACGGCCACCAGGGCGCGGTTTGGTGTTTGGATGTTGATTGGACAACATCAAAACTTATATCGGGTGCCGGTGATATGACCACAAAGATTTGGGATGTTGAACATGGTGCTGTGATTGCTTCGATTCCTGCCAAATCTTCTGTGCGCACATGTAATTTTAGTTATTCCGGCAATCAAGCGGCATACTCTACAGATAAGGCTATGGGTCAAAATTGTGAACTATTCATAATCGATGTGCGTACGGCAGATTCCAGCATTGAAGAACAGGATCCAATTTTGCGTATACCAATGTTACCTTCGAAAATTACTTCTATGCTCTGGGGGCCTTTGGATGAAACCATTATCACTGGTAAATGTTTTTTAAATACAAATTTTTTAGCTTTGCATGTAATATCTTCTGATTTTGTAGGCCACGATAATGGACAAATTTCCATTTGGGACATTCGCAAAGGAGGTCGTGAGATTAATTCTGTAAATGATCACACCGCTGGTATAAACGATATGCAAATGAACAAAGACGGTACAATGTTTGTCACTGCTTCCAAGGACACATCAGCAAAACTATTCGATTCCGAATCTCTAATGTGTCTCAAAACCTATAAAACTGAGAGACCTGTGAATTCAGCTTCAATTAGTCCGATTATGGACCACGTAGTATTGGGTGGTGGCCAAGATGCTATGGAGGTGACAACAACATCTACTAAAGCTGGTAAATTTGATTCACGTTTCTTCCACTTAATTTATGAGGAGGAATTCGCTCGTCTAAAGGGCCATTTCGGCCCCATTAACAGTTTGGCCTTCCATCCGGATGGCAAAAGTTATGCTTCAGGTGGTGAGGATGGTTTTGTGCGTGTGCAAACGTTTGATAGTACATATTTTGAAAATATCTTTGAGTAGATACATCCATGTATATATGTCATTATTGAAATAGTTTGCATTTTAGTCACCTCCGATAACCTTTTTGTAACTGTATTTATGTGAAATCGAAGCTGGTACGCAAATATAATGTTTGCTAATAAAACAAACCTGAAAGTATATGTAAGAACAAGAAGAAAAGCAAAAAAAAAATGCCTTTTTACTCGCGATAATACCAATACATACTGCTGTATTTATTTTTAACATTTATAATCAATAAGCGTATTAAAGCAATGGTTTTTATTGAAATGCTAAATCCACTTGTGACATATACACTCGCGCAAAATCTAGAGATGCCCACTGAGTAATCCTCTCTCTACAATGTCTATTTAACGCTTGTTTTTATAATGAGTTATTCCTTAGAAAAAAGAACGCTTTGTTTTTTTTAACACAACAGGTTGGCCCTGCATCGCTGCATACTGTGCCGCAGTTGGAGCACAGCCAGGTGGCGGTGGGGGTATGCTCACAGCCCCAGCTGCAGTTGTGCGTATTTTAGCACCTGGCGCTAAAGAGAGCACATGCGGTTCCTTAACACTGTTGAATGTAGGTGGTGCAGTAGCAGTAACATAATGGTGTTGATAGTATTGTGGTGGTGGTGCTGACGTGGTATAACTTTGCATATAATTAGATGTAGCGTTATAATTAGAAGTTTGCATAAAAGGAGTGGGAAATTGATTTGGTGCTCCATGATTTGAAGCAGATGCGTACATTCGTTGGCTCTCTTCATATGAGGGTGGTGGCGGCCGCTGTAAATACACACATGTTTTGGGTATATACACAAACAATATATTTTCAGAAGTAAATTAGTTACATTATTGAAATTACTAAATGCTGCGTCATTAATGGAGGCTGGTGCAGCTGCTGTGGACATTATTTTCTTATCTGCAATAGACAAGTAAATATACACGTTTTTCATATTAGCTGAATTTAAGACTTTCGAAACAACAAATACTACCGTTAGACATTTTTATTTTGCCCGGAAGGGTTCCGTCGAAATTTTATTTTTATGAAACTTTTTATGTAAAAATTTAGCAGACAATAATTTTCGCGTTCATTATTTTCTTGGATGTAGAATAAAATTAATGACATTTGTTTATATACGCTGACTCTAATGTCAAAACAAATAATTATGACATATGTATGCAGGGCTACACTGTTTACCACTTTAATAGATTTGACAGCGAGGTAAACATATACGGCTTAAATCTTTATTAATTTTATTTCACGATATAATTTAAAAACAAATATGTTTAATATTTTTCGATTAGGTAAGTAAGAAATATAGTAATTTGTTGTTGTTGTTGTTGTTGTAACGGCAGAGTTCTGCCGAGTTGACAGTCCTTGGCCGGATAAAAATCCGGGTCCGTTCCGGTTTCCGTAGATCCGACTGTCGTGGGTTTGTCCTTTACGCCGCTTCAATTTCTTCCAAAAATTTCCGGCATTTCTCTTTCAATACTTTTACTGCTTCGATGAAAATAACATCAGGTTTAAGAGCTCCAACTGATTCAACGTTAAAAATGTAGTGATCGCGAACTCGAGACATTGTTACAGCGTTTTCCAACTGAGGGTATCTATACACGTTGCGGCTACAAGTATCATAACGGGCATCTTTTACATATGCACAGTCATTTTCATCAATACCAATTACACCGGGGGAAAAGCACTTCTGTAAAAGAAATGCCTCTTTGCCTTCTATTTTACGGTTTAACTTGATTTCAGGTAACAATCTGTAGAATGCTGTGGCTACAGGTGAAAACTTTGCATGATCTTTTCCAATGCCTTTGACAGCTATTAAGCGCAAATCTAGTTCATGACCAGGACGTAATTGATTTATGAGTATATCGTCATGTATACAACCCACATCTGTATCACTGAAAATTTGCGATTGTTTCCCTTTTGGTAGCCATTTTATTTGACCGGAATAGACCTTGTGGTTTTTATAGATTGTGTCGAAATTTGAAGAATCTTTTACATCTTTACGTCTTGTACACTTTACTTTTAATTCGAATTCTAAAGTATCGTGTTCATTTCCTTGGTCACCACTTTCCTCTGTCTTATAAAGAAAACGACGGGGATCTGCACGAAGTGGTATAAGACCAAGACGATGGGCTAACACTTCATCCTGCATTATAGATGTGTTATTGTATATGTACACCTTTTCAATAGCCATACTCGGCACTTCACTGAGCATTAGACGACGGAAAGCATTTGCTATACCTGGATGAACACCGATCATATCAAATTCCATTTCATTCCCATCATATCTGTAATATTTAATGATTAATTCCGGGAGTATAATAGAAAACAATTCGATATATTTACTTTACAACAACGATTTGAAATTTTTTCTTAAACGTTTCTAAATTGAAGGGTTCGTCAGCGAGTCCGTAATCATGCGGATCCTGTTTTAATTTGTGCTCATCCATATACAATCGTGGACGCTGAATACTAGTAGACATCTTTGCACACAAATTTCCTGCTTATTATAAAATGATTTAAATTCCTTCTAATATTCGCAAAGATTATGGTGCAGGCACGTGGGAAAAAGTTTTTGTTTTGCTCTTATCTTCCGTTTGAAGCGGCTAAATGTCAACAAAAGAAAGGGGAAAAATTTCGACCTTTCTGAATCAAGTGTTCCGCTATTAATGATTTTCATCAAAATAAATTTATTTGTAAATAAAACTGAATCAAAACGTATATACATACGTGTATATATACATATATATACATTTTATTTGTTTATTCCACAAAGTCTTAATTTAAAAGAATAAACGAAAGTATTCTCTATCAAACAAATAAAAATATATGGCATCACTCTGAGATCCTCTTCACTATTATTATTTTTGCCGGGACGAATAAAAAGTCAAACTTATTTTCAATCTGGCGCATTTAAAAGATATTTCATATGCATAACTATAAAAGTATGTGAAAAGCGTTTACGTGTTTAATAAAGTGTTTCCTTTTTTGTATTTTGATCATTATTATGGCAAAGCGTTTCGAGCCATTCAAGGAGTTCGGACGTAGCACAAAGAAGCCAAAATTGGATGTAAGCATAAACAAAGGACGACCTTTGGGTCCCAGTCAGTCTTGGCCAAATCACATACGTTCAAATGCTGGTGAGGTACATGCGAAAAGTCCTGCTCGCAATAATGTGAACAACAATAATTTATGGGACGATGACGACGATGATGTTATATTATTGGCCACTCAAGTAGCTGAATCTCAAGTGGCTATTAAAACATCGGACACAAATATTACTGACAGTGATATTACTTTCAGTGAATTCGCACCACATATCCATGCGACCACAAGCACACAACGGCTTACATCAGTAAATGCTGGGCTCAAAGCCACGGTTAGTGCGCCTCCAACGATAGAAAACAACAATTTTTCCGAATTATTCGCTGATGATGATGATTTTRCGGAGCTTTTAGACGTAGATGGAAATGGGGAAAAAGAACAAGAAATCTTTCGAGTGCAACCTTTTGAGACAGACAATGTATTTAAAAAACCAAGGGCGATAGTAAATGGTAGAAATGGCATGACTATTACAACTCCACAAGCTTCACTAGTAAATACAGCTCAAATATCAGATAGCCAGCAAGCAGCGGCAAGACGTCAAGTTGCGACGGAGCGGCAAGTAAAAATGTTGATGGAACGTATAGATGCCTTAAAAGCAGAAAATGCTAAACTCACAAAAGATCTCAGTGAATCGAAGGCCAAAATCGAGAACAAGGATGGAGAGGTAAACTAAAAACTAATTTGGTTTTTTGAAGGAAATTACGATTTTATTTCTATTATAGTCTTCTTTGCTACGCGATGAGCTGCGTCACATGAAGCAACAATTACAAACATTGAAAATGGAAAAACTTATGAGTACCGAAGCTGCGAAAACTGAGTGCAAAACCAAGATTGCCGAGTTGACAAAACGTGTGGAGGCCAAGGAGTCGGAATTAAAGTTGCGCAAAGTGGAATACTCAGTGTTGAAGATGCGACACGCTGATGAGACGCAACGTTTAGAAATGAGTATACGCAATGCCTTTGCAATCGATGTGCCTATGGAAGAAGATGTGCACCAAACGTCAAAAAAACAAAATGCGCGCATCCTGTACCGTTTACGTGATTTTTCATTACCCACAGAATCAGGTGATATTAACAATTCGCATCTAACGGAATTCAGTGCAAATGCCTTCAAACGCACACAAGAGCGTGTCACAGGGAAACGCCAATACACACCATTTCAGTTGGAGTTAGACAATGCGCAAACGCTACTGGCACAATTACAGTTGCAACGACAGAAAGGGTCGTGGACTTCTACGGAAGCAGCTGATTTCAATGAACGTGCTATCGCTTCCGCTTGCAATGCGTTACCCGAGTTTTGGACATATGTTCATGGCTTAGAGTTTCCTAAGTACTGCAATGTGCATCCCTATCATGAATATGATTTGCGTAATGATGACTACACAAGCCCTAACCGCAATTTACACGCCGAACAACTATTATGCGAGGATGAGCGGGCAATTAGTCTGCGTCGTTATATTTCAGCTTTAAGTGTAATGTGCGGGCGAGCGCCAAATTTTGCACAACAGCTGCTGGCGCAACATCACGGCGACTATGCATTGCTGCAGGTAGCATGTCATGCCATCTCAAAGTTGGGCTACTCACGCGAGATTTGTGCGCACTTCGGCGTACTCGAGGCCTTTGCTGTTCTCTTGCGTGTGCTATTGCGGCAAGTACGCACAGGCGATAGCGAACACATAGAATTGCTGGTTGGAAGTTTACTAAAACAGCTGATATTTGTGAGACCGAGTGCATGGATATTTTGTGAGTTATCTCATTGCGTGCTGGAGTTGACGCGTCTACCAACGGCTTTAGAACGAATTTGCGTAAACAGCGATGAGAGCACTTTTTACAGCGATCGCATGCGTTCGCTATATCGATTCTCGAACGATTCCTGTATACTGCAGGTATATGCGGGTCTGTTGGAGATTGCATTTCCACTAAATGACATATTGAGTGTGTCACATATGCACCTATTGACCGTCATTTGTGAAAATCATGTGCGTTTCGCGCACTATTGTTTTATGAAGCCGCCCGATTTCATACACAAATTACTGCCCTCCTATGACGATGACGACGACGAGGAAGACGATGAGGCGGAGCAACAGGTAGTGGAAAAGAAAGTTCAAAGTTATAAAAGCGTTACATGCAAAAGCATTTCCAGTGAAATTTCTGTAAATAACAGTGAAATGGGTGCGACGGTTAATTCGTCATCTAATATTGAGAGTAGGTCCAAGAAATCAAACAATAGTTCAACTCGCTGTGAGTGCTATACAAAGCTGTGTTTAAGCGTTGTAACGCTGCTATTTCAACTACTGCGACAATGGCGGTGCACAGGTCGCAAAATTGGTAAGTGCTAGTGAAAGAGTTTAATATGTGCGAAGCTTATTCTGTTAATTGATTTATTTTGTTCTTCCAGAAACTCCGCGTGTGGCAGAGATTTCTCAATTATCCGTACAATTATTGCACACAATTTTTTGTGATAACTATTCCACGCATCTCTTTCGTTATGCAGAAGAGACCACAAAGCATTACCTCTGGCTGATCTGTGAATGGTGGGTGGAAAATTCCGAACGCTTAAAATTTAGCAGTGCACAAAGTATGCTCAAGTTTTTACGATATTTCAATTATAAGCACATTTTTTCAAACTACGTTTTTATCTTTTTTCAGATAATTTTCTTAAAAAGTTGCGTGATTTCCACATTATGCCCAAGCAGTTAAACGATGAGGGCAATCCCGTCAATGTACTTAACGATCTAAATGAATGGCATTCGCTAACCAATGATAGCAGATCACGAAATCCCGACACTTCTGTGTCTATCGCATTGGCTGTAGAAAAAATGAATATTATGCACTATGCGGGTGATGAAGCAAATTTCTTCGAAGGCCTCAAGGGTTATGCCTTTAATTTTGAGTGATTATATCTCGTAGTAGTGCCGTACGATTATTATTATTCCTATAAAAATAAAATAAGGAGGAATAGGACACTAAATTTTCTTAGTGCGTGCTGTTAAACCTACAATTATTTTTCTAGTTGCATAATTTGCAAATACGATACTTTGTGACTATTGTTGAATTGTTTTTTAATGTGTGTTAGAAAAAAAAAACAAATAAATATACAAATACTCTAAAATACTACAGAGTTTGAAGATATGGTTCAAAATTTCTTGTTGGAGTCTTCTCGTTTTAAAAGTACCCATTTGGGTAGTAACGAATTTTCCGATTTGTGCCTTTGCTAAATTATTTCCCTGATCTACTAGGCGCGCAGAAATGCATAGCAACAATTGTTTTATGCACAATTCTTTTCGTCCTTTTGCCTCATGTTTATTTTATTTGTTTTGCTCGCACTAAACGCAGAACAACGAATTCGCCACCTTGCCACCTGTCGGATTATTTTGCCCGATTTTCACCATGGCTGTTGTCGTGGTGGTGATAACCTTGTTTGGGGGAGAGTTATTTGTTAGCAAGCTGCTTCTTGCTGTGTATTTCTGTTCGCCGGGTGTTTTCAGAAGATAATTTTGAGACTTGTTTGATGCGCGCTTCCCCACTTTTTACTCCTAATTTTTATTTTTCTGGACTGCTCTCGTGTGCCTAAATTTTTGCAAATACCAGGCACCCAGAAATGCATAACAAATGTTTTTATGATGTGTCGGTAAAACAGTTTGAAAGTAAGGATGGTTGCCACATTATGCATATGGATTAATAATTAAATTTATTTCATTCCTTTATGGTTTTGGTGGATCATAAAATATGTTTAAACAAAAACTCGATATTTATAATTTTACAAACATTTATTTTCGAATAAAATAAGTAAACCATATAAATTATGTGAACAAAAGTTGCTCAATAAGCCTACACATTGTGTTATGTATTATATAGTGTCTCACATTCTTAAGCTTTCGATATAAAAGTACAAACCATTCATTGAGTAACACTATATAAAAAGCTCCTATGTGCTAAATATTAATAATTCTTTTTTTTTATAAATTTAGTACCTTCAAGTGATGTGTATAAATTGCATTGAAATTACTATAATAGATAATGAAAATATGCAGAAAAAATTAATTATGAAATTTTTTGGAATCAATTATTGGTTATAGTGCAAAGAATATTTGGTGGCTATTTAAAAAAATTAAGCATAAAAGTAAAAAAATATTAGAAGTATTAAAAAGAATGTAAACAAAAAAATATGGAAATAAAAATAAAATAGAAAAAAAA